TTAATCACAATATGACATTGTTCCATTTAATTACATGCCCATGGCTATTGAAGTGTGTAATTAGGATTTTTAACAATTCATTCTGAATCCTTGAGCCTGCTGTGAGCAAAAACAAAACCATAAACGAAGTGATTGTGCTATAAAGATTATGACCAAGCTTGATAATGAGGATTCTTTACCTCTTTATGAAAAAGCTTGTTGGCTAGATTGGAATTGAAAAAAAATATCCTGAAGACAGCAATGGCAAGCTTCCATACATATGCCAGGAAAACTGCTTGGCTGTTTCCTTAATAGTCACCAGGAACTGCATTCTGTTAAAGACAATCTTTACTTGTTTCGTGTACATTGCATGCAATCAAAAATATTTGTTGAAACCCTTTGTTGAGAATAATGGAGGCCTTTGTGGATTCTAAAGAAGGAATTAATGAAGACCAGTGGTGGGTTCCAGATCCCATTGTAACTGGTACGGTTGCAGCAGGTCCCAGCGTCCTCCACATGAGCGCGCGCACAGCGCATGCATACTCGTGCAACACACACATGCATCTTACCATCCAGTGATGCCTCCACAAGCCGCTGCGATGCTCCAGCTGCTCAGCGGAGCATCACACAGGCGCTGTATGGACCATGCACGTGCACAGAAGCGCCAAAGGGTTTAAAGGACAGGTAAGGAGCGCAGGTGTGTCCTCCAGAGCACCATACCAGAACGGTATCCGGTGCTCCAGGCAGGCTCCGGTATGCCCATACCAGGGTGTACTGTCTACAACCCACCACTGATGAAGACACATAACTGTTGATTTCACAATTCTGTGAGAGAGATTTCTCTTTTCTTTGAAGGGAAAAATGGAACCAATATTTTCACATATCCTATAGAAATTCAGATGGCTATGCTGTGCAGGACATTCATTCATTCATTCATTCAGTTATTAACTGCCAACTCCAGGAAAGTTTTATAGTAGTTAACTGTTTGCTAAGGAGCTCTTGGTAGTGTGTGGTTTTTTTACTCTCACTTTAGCAGAATCTCTACAAATTAGAAAGTCTACTCTTCATGGTCTAAACCCTGGACATTTCGTAAAAGATTTCTCTCTGTCTTTCTCTCAGATTTTGAGGTAACACACGACTTCATATTTCATGATGTTGATCTCATTTGAAAGTTCCTCTGTCTACCACATCACAGCTCAGTACTATTGTGAAGGCTTTTAGGTGAAATCTTCTATCTTTTCTATCTTTGAATGGAGCCTCATTTAATTTGGAAATTTACAATAGGTGCAGTAAGCAAGGAATTAGTTTAAAAATTAAGGCTACAAGGTATTTAAGGGGTTTAAGAGTTTGTGAAAATAATATCTTTAAAAATACCTTAGATATTCAGTAGAAGTATTATTCCAAGGTTGTTCCAAATGTAAATATTTGAATTTATTGCAGCCTAAAATTTAATTCTTAGCAGAAATTATCAAGCTTTTTAGGTAATGGACAGCAGTGCATTATTTTGCCTCATATGGGTTTATGCTGGTGTTTGAGCATAATAAAAATTAGTAATAGGTACTAATTTAAAAAGTGAAAAAAATTAAACCACTATAATCTCAGAGGATCTCATGCAACACAAAAATCTTTTGATTATTGGCCACTTTCTGGTCAACAATTACAAGATTTTCAGCCATTTTATTTTAGTGTTCATGGCTGACACCTAGTGGTGTCATCTGTGCTTAAAGCCTTGTTTTTTGCGTGTCCCAAATCATAAAAACACCCTCTGCGTTTATTTTATAATAACTCTAAAGTATTGTTATATAGTATAGATACTGGCAGAAGGTAGGAGATTGTTAACAGAAACAAAAGGTCTTAACCACTTCTGGTTAACCAATTAAAACAATTAAGCTTTTCAAATCTTTCTCTGGAAAAAATAAAATGTTGATAGAGCAGTTATAAAGATGTAACCATAGGAAAAAATCTTTACTTACATTAATTTGTTGCTATTTATTATAATGGATTAGATAATTCACATTTTATAGGAAATGTAAGCATAATTGAAACAGTTTCATATAGTTAAATTGTGATTAGCAGCTCTGTAACGCACACCTACTGCTTTCCAATTAAGTAGAAAAGGGGATTTTACTTTGGGGAAGAAATAAGAGATAATGGAGCAGTTTTATTAATTCCAGATGCTATCATTTTTGGATTTAACTGATGCTGCATGCTAAAGCCTACTAAATCACTGCCTACTAAAGAGAATTTTATTTATTTCAGTTTTATAGTTTATTTTTAAATCTGTGTGAGTGTTTTGCTTGTCATTACCTTTTCTAACTTTGATAAAGGAAACGGCAGACTGACTTCTTAAATTTGGGTCTTACCTGGGAAAGAGGTTGGACTATTGGAGTGTGGTCTTGCATAGTATAGCAGAACCTCTGGTCACCAACCTAATTAGTTCCATAACTTTGGTCACAATCTGATTTGGTCATGACCCAAATCTAATTTTGGAAATTTGGCGCTTACTCCCAAAAAATGGTGCAGGAGGATAAATCAGCTGTGGGGGTGGGTGGGGGAGGAATTGTGAATTTTTTGGTCGGAACTTGATTTGGTCATGGTCAGAAGCGTTCATGACCAGAGGTTCTACTGTATCTGGAAGCTTCTGGAAATAGATGCAGAATGCAGTGGCAAAGGCAGTTATGTGTTTCACCAGAACAGCGCATATCACACACCACTTACAAGAGCTGCATTGGCTGCCAATTTGCTTCTGGTCCAATTCAAAGTACTGATTTTTACCTTTAAAGCCTTTCATGTCATGGGACAAGGATCTGATGGATAGTATCTCTCTGATTACATCAACCATCTTGAGAAACATTCTACGCCCCCTCCCCAAGAAGTCAGATTAATTCCATCCCTGTTAATGTTTGGGAAGCCCCCCCAAGACCTGATTATGTCTCCAAATTTGGGAGTCCCAGGAAACTGGTGACATTTTATGATGGCTCATCTAATATGAATAACACATGGTTGCTATATATCTCCCCATTTGTATACTTTAAATGTTTAATTATATTTTAATTTTTAATAATGATTCCCCTTTTTATAATGAAAGTTTTTATTTTTGTGTTTATATTGTTTTATTTAATTGTTGTATGCTGTCTCAAATAACTTAATGGTAAGATAGATGACTATATGGGTCCCATTTCAAAAGTACTTTAGATCATTTTACTTCAATTTTTTTCTTTTGTGGAAAACAGGAACAGATTTTTCACCCAAGATAATAAAGAAATAGCTTGGTGGAAAAGTCTTAGCAATTATTCAGTAAGTAAAAAAAATACATAGGATTACTTTCAAAGATGCAAATAAAAGCTCTTAGAATTACTGATAAGCCTTACTGAAAAAAAGAAAGGCAAAAATATTTTTTTTCATTCCTCAGTAGTTAAATTGTTTATCTGCAGTCTCCCTCCCCTCAAAAAAATCTGCAGATGGAGACCCTCATTTGAGAACCAAGTCCCCAGTCACTGGAATGTAATCCAAGAAAAACAAATACTACAAAGGCTACTAGCAGGAGGATGTCTTTCAAGCTTGGTTTTTTTGTGACCATTTTGGCTCCTGGAGAAAAGGGGTCCCCCAAAACATATGTATCAGCTGGATACACCCTTTGTACTAAAGTTCAGTCTGTTTAGCCAGATGTCTTCCCAACAGGGACAAAGAAAAAACAGATCTTGCATTATAATAAGCCAGGAAACTGAAAAGTGTGTCTAGTGAAAGAAGGCTCATTGTATCCCATCTGATATTTATTAAGGGTTGTTTAAGTCAGCAGGGAGAAATGTGCAGTATCCGGAAATGACCCGGACACTCTGGTATGTTCAACTGGTGACAAAGGATTGGAAGCAGCCCATCATTAAAGCTGGGTGCTCAGATTACATAAGGAAGGACCCAAACCAAACCAATGTGAACAGATAAAGGTCCAATTAAGCTTAAACTTAATTTTGCATAATTTAGACTTCAAGAGTACAGAATAGTCTTACTAACATTTGACCTACTAATGAATACTGGGAAATTCACTGTACAGCTTTTCCTCCTAACAAAAGCAGACAGGGACTAAAGCCCTCCCCATTTTCACTTACATTCCATTCATTTTATTTACATTTGCGGAGATGATTCAGGACTGACATATTTCACTTTAATAGGAGGGAAAAAAAAGTAATAACAAAAATGAGACAATATATGACCATAAGAAGGACAAATAAATTGCAACAGGGCACAAGGTGTCCTTTTTACAGTTACAAGTGTCCTTCTTACAGTTATCTCATTTTTTTTGTTACTTTTGTTTGCTCCTAATTTGGCCAAATTAGCATATATTCAATTCTAAAGTCCAATACTAATGTTTTTGGTTGGTTAATTCTGTATTTCTTTTAACTGTTAGGTAAGTAGTTAACCTATAGTTTGAATGTTTTAAGTAGAACATAAACTTTTCTGAAAAGCTCAGTTCTAGGTAAAACCCATGCATGTTTCTTATTTCTAGTTGATTGAATCAAAACTCTTATTCATAAGATTAAAAAGTGTGTGTGGCATTTATTCACGTGGGAACCTGAATATTTTAAAAACAGTGTAAAGGATAGTAATTTACCATACCTTTTTTAGGTGAAGAAATAACTGTTGGTATGCAAATTAATATGTGACTATCTATCATTCAGGAATCTTAGTATGAACTCACACATCGTCCATACTTGAGGGGGATGAGTAGTTTAGAAACATAAAATATAAATAAAATTTTGTATACGCAGTATATACATGGAACATTATGTATGGATAACTATCTCTATCTATTCTAGATAGATAGACTGATTGATTAATTGGCTGACTTTACATTGAATATAATGCATGACTGTCTCTTATCAAACCAATAAATTGATTATGGGTTATCGGTAAACCACATTTAATTTTAGCCTTATGCAGACTTGCAAATAAATCTTTGTATTAACTAATTACAAAATAATTAAATATAAACAGGAATCTAAATTCTTAATTTTATTTTATAGGTATTCAAGAAGGAACACAATGCACCAAGTATAAAAGTAACTGGGCACTGAAATTTTCTATCATACTTTTATATATATTATGTGCCTTGCTAGCAATAACAGTAGCCGTCTTGGGATACAAAGGTAAGTTCTGTATCTATAACAGTAGCTGTGTACTGAGTCCAAGAAAAATTGACCACAAAAAAGTAATTGTTTAATTAAATCAGTGTGATTTCAGAATATATCTCAGATAAAAGTAAATTGTAATCATTATTTTCCATGCTAGCCTATCAGTTAATTCATCTTCCTAAATAATTACTTAAATAGGGTAAGATTACCAATTTCAGATTATTAAATTATAAAAATGTAAGCAACTCTTAATGTTTAGGAAAAACAAGGATAGTTGCTCTTTGCCATCAATCTATTTCATACATCAGTTTTTCATAATGTTATTGTATTTAGAAAACAGGTGTGTAACAGAAGCTCAGTATTTCAGTTAAATTTCACTGACTACTTCAAACGTAGCTTATTCATTGATTTCAGTTTAAGGACTGGATGGATACACACATACAACATGGATAATATTTAAACATCAATAGGGTTGGAAAATCTTAATGTGTCAGTACTCTGCATATATTGTCTACTGTTGAAATGCAGGTAAACATCATGTTACCTTTCTTTATTATAGATCCCATTTTTAAAAATATATAGAAAAGCAAGGTTTGCATTCTGGCCAAAATACCAATACTGGAAGGTACTCTCCATATTGCAGTTAGTCCTCAATTTAACAATTATTCAGCTGCTTGAAATGACACTGAATAAAGTTATTTGTGACAGGTCCTGGTATGTATGACTGTTGCAGCATATCTACAGTCATGTGATGTGTGTGTGTGTGATCACCATCTGCCAGCTTCCAACAAGCAAAATCAATGCAGAAATAGCTGGGTTCATTTAACAAGCCCCTGATTCTCTGAACAACTGCAATGATTCGCTTAGCAATCATGGCAATAAAGGTCATGAAATCAGGTGCAACTCACTTAACAACCATCTTGCTTAGCAATGGAAACTCTAATTTCAATTTGTGATCTTAAGTCAAGGACTACCTGTATTAGCTAGGGATGCTGCATATGATATGCATACAATTAAGGCTGATAATCCTTTTCTATCTTAGTAAAAAATCATTATGTAAAATCCTGAAGTGACTAAAGCCACAATGGATGGTTTAAAAAGAAAAATAAATATATTGCATAATGTGAGTCTAATAGAAAGGGAAATGATGTAGTGGATCTGACTGAAGGAGGTTTAAGCTTATAAAGTCATTATAATTACATAGAAAGGCTGAGTGCCAAAGAATTGAGGTCTTTGAACTATGGTGCTGGAAAAGACTCCCGTCAGTCCTAGAGGAGATCAGCCGTGACTGCTCGTCAGATCCTGAAGATGGAACTCAAATACTTTGACCACCTAATGAGAAGGAAAGACTCACTAGAGAAGAGCCTAATGCTGGGAAAGATTGAGGGCAAAAGAAGAAGGGGACAACAGAAAATAAGGTGGCTAGCTGGAGTCACCAAAGCAGTAGGCGTGAGACTCTAGAGGATGGTAGAGGACAGGAAGGCCTGGAGGAATGTTGTCCGTGGGGTCACGATGGGTCGGAAATGACTTCGCAACTAACAACAACATAATTACATGAATAAATGAAAGAACTAAAATAAATGTCATAAATATGAAATGTCATTATGAAAATTGTTATGGGAAAGTAAGAATTATATATTGATTATGTTACATGATCATGTTACATGTTAATGCCCCAGTAAATGATAAAAAAACAATGATCTTAAAAAAGAGAGATTATTTCTGGAAAAAGTATATAATGTTAGAAATGAATATGATTCAGGAAAAAAATATTCCACTAGTTGACGTGAATTGGGACAAGATAAGTGAGTTCAGAATGTGTGATAAATACAGATGATGCACTGAATATGAAAGAGAAGGATATGAAAGAAGGGTGTTGAATAACACAATGAAAGACTTGCAGAGTTAATATATGTAGAAACAATGAATGGATCAAAGGGAAAGGAAAGACAAAAGAAGTATGAAGTTAGTAAAGTTTTGAGAAAGTGGGAGGCAAGAAGTTTAAAGAACAAAAAAGGCAGTGTAGGAAACAGAAAGGTATAGAGAATGTGTTGGTGTTAAGATATTTTTCCCAATGTTTCGTTTTGTTTTTCTTATTTTATGCCTTTAGTTTTCTTTGGCTTATTATTCCTTACCCCTTTTCTTCATTTTGCAATAATTAACAAGATCTTCATTTTCTATTCATTTTGTACCCATGCCATGACTGGCTCCAGTGTCATGTTACCTTGCCAGAAAGTAATTCTTTTTAATCCTTCTTAATTGAATATTTTATCCATAAAATTGATAAGACATTCAATACAGTGGCCCAATAATTATGTAAATTATTCTTATGCAAAGTTATTTTAATTGTTGTAGTTTATCTGATGCCTTTATGAGCTATGGTTAGTGGCGCAATGGGCTTTATTTAATATTAAATGCCATTAGAATCTGGCATAAAGTACTTGCTAAAGTGTGAAAAGGCATTTTAACTTTCAAAAGTACTATTTCAGTATGATACTGTGTGCTCTCTGAAATTTCTTAGCCTATTTTGTAAAAAAAAATTGTTCTTTCTCCAGTAGTTACTTTCTGTTTTATATCTGGCTTCTACCCTGGATTGACTTTTGATTGTAAATTTGTTATTTTGTTTATATGGGTAATGCTTGACTTACAACCGTAACTGAGCCCAGCAATTATGGTCATAATTTGTGATGGTCATAAAATACATGACTGACCTAAAGTTACCTTTTTTGGGGCAAGGTCATTAAAACAAAGATGGCAATCATAAAATGAATGTGGCCATCATAAATCAAACATGATGGTCATAAAGTGAGTGCCATGATCGATAAGCAAATATATTATTTGTTATGGGGAGTTTGCAGGTAAATGCCGGTTTCCATCAAAAGCATTGTTAATGGCAGCCACATTACTGTGGGGTATGCTGCAAACATCATAATTGCAGCCTACTTTCCGAGCACCCAAAATGTGGTCACGAGACTATGAGAGATGGTACTGGCCACCAGAATTTCTAAACCAGGTCATAAGTACATTTTGGGTGGGTGGTGTGGAGTCCAACATAACTTAGAACAGTCATTAAAAGACCAGTAGTAAATCAAAAACTAGAATATTTGCCAAATTCTGTCTTATTAAATAAAAATGAAAAGCACTATATTCAACAAGGTTTTAAGTGTGCCTAACAGATAGCTGTACAGTCATCTCATTGTGACCTTTTTTTTGCTTTTTTCTATCACTTCTTCATCCAACTGCAGTTGTCTATGTTTTTTTTAATTCAACCACTTTGCATTGTGTACTTTAATGATTCTAAAAATTGCCTGTGACTTAAGTCAAATATAAAATTCAATATTTCTAACAATTGCTACCAGGTACCCTGTGAGCACCTGTGCCCACTGTTCCCTCTAACGTACGCGGCTGTGTGGCTGCGCACATGGCAAGTAAATATTGCGCAGCAGTTTCCCACTGCCGCGCAGTATCGTTTGCTAGACACGGACTGCAGTCTCTGTACTCTGCAGAATGGCCGTGGAATCGTGAATGAAACCCCCTCCAGCTAAACAGGAGTCTTGACAACATTTTTTAAAAAATGTTTGGGCGGAATTGGTGCGATTTATTATGCAGCTGCACCTGGGTGGCACTTCCTGATTCTCTGCACTTCGGATCTTTCAACAAAGCCTTTCCCCACTCTGCGCTGGGGGACTTGCTTGCGTGCAAGCCGGCGCCCCAAACAGAGCTGGGACCAATCATCATGCCTTTTCTTCCCTTTTTATGCCCTGTCTCAGACGTGCGGGTGCGCATGCTGTGGACTCACCCACCAGATATCGAGGTTGCTGCATGCTTAGCTGTGGCCGTATCTCCTCTTGTTTTTTCCCCTTCCTCTTACATGCCCCCTTGGTGCAGCGGGCTAATGCCGGTGAAAGGAGTGGGGTGGACACAACTGGTAAATTATAAACCACAGATTTTAATCCTATTTAATTTTTAATGGTATCAAATTTAGCTATAAAG